TCACGAAGCCTGGATTCATAGGTCATGTTCTCTAAACCTTTAATCATTCTTGTCGCTCTTCTCTGCACCCTTTCCAATTTCTCCACATCTTTCTTGAAATGTGGCGCCCAGAACTGGACACAGTACTCCAGCTGAGGCCTAACTAGTGCAGAGTAGAGCGGCAGAATGACTTCACGAGTTTTGCTTACAACACACCTGTTGATACAACCTAGAATCATATTTGCTTTTTTTGCAACAGCATCACACTGTTGACTCATATTCAACTTGTGGTCCACTATGACCCCTAGATCCCTTTCCGCCATGCTCCTTCCTAGACAGTCGCTTCCCATCTTGTATGTATGGAACTGATTGTTCCTTCCTAAGTGGAGCACTTTGCATTTCTCTTTATTAAACCTCATCCTGTTTACCTCTGACCATTTCTCTAACTTGCTAAGGTCATTTTGAATTATGTCCCTATCCTCCAAAGAAGTTGCAACCCCACCCAGTTTGGTATCATCTGCAAACTTAATAAGCGTACTCTCTATCCCAATATCTACATCATTGATGAAGATATTGAACAGTACGGGTCCCAAAACAGACCCTTGCGGAACTCCACTTGTTATCCCTTTCCAGCAGGATTTAGCACCGTTAACAACAACTCTCTGACTACGGTTATCCAGCCAATTATGCACCCACCTTATCGTGGCCCTATCTAAGTTATATTTGCCTAGTTTATCAATAAGAATATCATGCGAGACCGTATCAAATGCCTTACTAAAGTCTAGGTATATGACATCCACCGCTTCTCCCTTATCCACAAGGCTCGTTATCTTATCAAAGAAAGCTATCAGATTAGTTTGGCATGACTTGTTCTTCATAAACCCATGCTGGCTATTCCCTATCACTTTATTACCTTCCAAGTGTTTGCATATGATTTCCTTAATTACCTGCTCCATTATCTTCCCTGGGACAGACGTTAAACTGACCGGTCTGTAGTTTCCTGGGTTGTTCTTATTCCCCTTTTTATAGATGGGCACAATATTTGCCCTTTTCCAGTCTTCTGGAATCTCCCCTGTCTGCCATGATTTTTCAAAGATCATAGCTAAAGGCTCAGATACCTCCTCTATCAGCTCCTTGAGTATCCTGGGATGCATTTCATCAGGACCTGGTGACTTGCTGACATCTAACTTTCCTAAGTGATTTTTAACTTGTTCTTTGTGTATCCTATCTTCTAAACTTACCCTCTCTCTGCTTGTATTCACTACGTTAGGCACTCTTCCAGACTTCTCGGTGAAGACTGAAACAAAGAAGTCATTGAGCATCTCCGCCATTTCCAAGTTTCCTGTTACTGCTTCTCCCTCCTCACTGAGCAGTGGGCCTACCCTGTCCTTGGTCTTCCTCTTGCTTCTAATGTATTTATAAAAGGTCTTCTTGTTTCCCTTTATGCCTGTAGCTAATTTGATCTCATTTTGTGCCTTTGCCTTTCTAATCTTGCCCCTGCATTCCCGTGTTGCTTGCCTATATTCATCCTTTGTTATTTGTCCTAGTTTCCATTTTTTACATGACTCCTTTTTTATTTTGAGATCATGCAAGATCTCCTTGTTAAGCCAAGCTGGTCTTTTGCCATATTTTCTATCTTTCCTACACAGCGGAATTGTTTGCTTTTGGGCCCTTAACAACGTCCCTTTGAAATACTTCCAACTCTCCTCAGTTGTTTTTTCCTTCAGTCTTGCTTCCCATGGGACCTTACCTACAAGTTCTCTGAGCTTATCAAAATCTGCCTTCCTGAAATCCATTAGCTCAATTGTGCTGGTCTCCCTTCTACCTTTCCTTAAGATCATGAACTCTATTATTTTGTGATCACTGTCCCCTATACTGTCTTCCACTTTCAAGTTCTCAACTAGTTCCTCCCTATTTGTTAAAACCAAATCCAGAACAGCTTCTCCTCTGGTAGCTTTTTCAACCTTCTGAAACATGCTTTCATTTTCACTGATCACCATCTGGTGTGAGGAATTGTTTCTATGTGGTTTGATGAGGACCTGACTTTTACAATGATTAAGATTAAAGATTCATGCCCAATTCTTACCATAAGTCTAGGGGCTGGGTAAGGGACACTTATTTGAAGCCACATTTCACTGGCAAAAGACTGCTGGGTTTTTTGTGTTTTTAGACTTGTTATGGCTACCACTGAAGGAGGAAAGCACAATTATCTAGTCTGTTTCACTGATGACAGGGGACAATAGGCTAAAAGTAATGGCTATTTGCATAGCTTATGTTAAAGAATGTATACCAACATTTTATTTAAAGCAGAAAACTCAGAATTTCACTTATATAGAAAATGAAATAATGAGAATATCTCAGGAATTGTGGGATGGGAATTATTGTATATCTTGAGCTTTAACAGAAGATATTATATTGAGAAAATGTCCAATTTTTCTTTAAAAAAAATCAATGTATACAACAATTACCAAGTTAAAATATCAAGCATAGCAGCTCACAACCTGCTGCAATATAATACATATGACAAAAAGAAATTTGATATTCTAATGCTTGTGTGTGTGTTACCTTCTTGCCTATATATTGATCAATGGACTATCTACTAAATCAATTGTAAAAATAAGAAAAGAAGTACTCAAACATAAAAGCTCATTAGTTTTACAGAAAAATGCAAAACATAACTAATGTGTGCAGAGTAATAAAAACATATAATCCATGCCTGAATCACTAATAAACACTTATCCAGATATCAAATACCTTTTATTGTTCAGAAAACCTATATATAATTTACAATTATAGTTCAAATAAATCTCAAAAGACTCCAAATTTGCTTGTACAAATCCATATGATCCTATATGGGCAAAAAGTGAAGAAGGTGGTATTTTTACTTTGCAAGGAATACAGAATATGACTATTTTAAAAGAACTGAACAGGATTCAGATTTTTTTTCTATTTTAAATTGAATATTTTGCTTTCAGTATCACGAGAAAATAAACATTTTGCCTTTCATTTGCAAACTTTCTTCTTGCATGTGGAAGAAGAAGAAAATAGAACCATGCGAAGTGGTTTAGGCCAGGTCTACACTAGACCAGCTTGGCTTAAGATACGCAACTCCATCTATGAGCTCCGCGGCATCCTCACAGTGGGAGGCTGATGGGAGCAAACACTTCCGTCGGCTTGCCTTACTCCTCGTTAAAGGAGGCATAACAGATGCTGGCAGAGGTGCCCTCTGAGTTTGATTTAGACCGTCTTAACTAGACTCGTTAAATCTAATGTCAGAAGAATGTGGCAGCGGTGATCGTCCTTTTAGTGTAGACAATGTCTTGGGTGCAAAGGGAAACACAAGAAAGGAGATACATATATTGTAATGTCTAAGGGGGCATGGGTTAGATGTGCATGTAGGAGCAAAAAAATCTCCCGGATTAAAGAAAAAATTCTTCACAAGTTGTGCATGTAAGGAAGCTCACAAGAGAGCTGAAGATGCTCATCATATTACAAAATATTAAGCAAAGCATGCAGGGTTCAATCCTACAAGCCACCTTGTGTGGGCAGGCCCTTGAACTCAGATACAGAGGTCTGTTCATGCAAATCAGGGCCTTAAGTATTGCATTAGTTCTATGGAGCTACTAAGTGCTGTACTCCTTTGCTTTCCTTGCATAAATACCTCATTGATACTTTCAAAATTATTGTTCTTTTGTGCATGCAGATCTGCTTTTTATTGCCTCTAATTATGCTCTGAGCCTCTGGAACCTGCAAACAATTATGTAGGTACTTAATTTTAAGCACTTGAGTAGTCCTATTGACTCTAATGGGTCTCATCACATGCTTAAAATGAGGTATTTGAATAAGTGTATGCAAGATCAGGTCCTTAAAATACACCTTCTGAAATTCTAGCTCTAAAAAAATCTAATGATCAGACGTTAGTGTCTATTCTTTTTAGCTATCTAAATGGTAAAAAAAAATTAAAATGCATTATTCCAAAAAATTAGCCTACCTGAATCCAAATGTTTCTTTGATGTCTGTTTCTGTTTCACAGTCTACTAGTTTTCTGTCTTCACCAAACTAAACACTCCTTCACACCCCCAATAAACAAACAGCCCTTCGCAACAAAACAACAAAACCACCCTCACCCGCCAGAAAAAAAAAATTCCAAAGCCTGATAGTGTATCAGTTATTACTGTTTTGCATACAACAGATGGTAGATATCTGGGGGAATGGATGATTGTGTGTATAGCCATCACAGCAGCACTCATCTAACAGCTGTTATATCTTCACATTTTTCACCTATTATTTAATCATTTTACCCAATACATGAATTATATTTATAGCAATAATTCTTAATAATTTTACTAAAACCAAGCACATTGATTGGAAATAAAACATATGAGGTTATCAACATGATTCTGCTCAGATAACTAGTATAAATATATCTGAACAACACAACACCCACACAAAATACACCACAGAAAAACAACACAATAGAATATACACAGAAGATTAAACCAAAAAGCCTCTACCGGTAACAGTCGATTACTTTCATTTTTCTTTCTGTAATGTGCAATCTGAACTAATTCTATTTTGTCAGTAAAGTATAATTATATTGATGCAAATAATTTCTACTGCATTACCTTATTGGAAATATTAGGCATTTTCCTCTTATTCATGACCACACTGCAAAGTAATTTTTTTATTTCAATAATCCAGTTTTACTAAGTGGCTCTATCTGATGCTAATTGTAAAGGTGGTTCACTTTGTAGAGTATTCCTTGCACTGTAATAAATGGAGTGAATATTAATTCTACTATCTATGACAGCTTCCTAGCAAAGAAAATTCTGCCCAGCATCTATATACTGACATTTGAACATTCTTGACTTTCCTTTTTTGGAATCACTTAGGATTTCAAGTGCTGAATAAAGTCAATAAAATCAAACCAAAAGGGATTTTTTAAAACTAAAATAGAGATGTATTAATGACACGTGGGAGATGACAGCAGTTTTTAGAACAAAAAGCTAGTAAATGCTTACCTCCCTGAGGACAGGATCAGTGATACTATCCAGATTTACAGAGCCTTCATACGTTAGGTAGTGGAAAACATTGAGTGCACGCACTGCTTCTGGTCCTCGTTGCTTGTAGCCAAATATAAGGTCAATCCACTGATGAAGTTGGCATGATACAAACTCACTTTCCAGTGCCTGGAAATGAAATTCAAAGTTAGGGGGGAAATATTGTTTTTCACATTTAGACACTTAAATTCTATCTTCAATCTGCTTTTTGCCTGAAGAAATTGTACTGTATAGCAATACAGTCCTTGTTTGTACTTAAAGTATATATCAAGTTCTTCAAACAAACATCAAACCACCACGCAACTAATTATTCTGTGATTAAATTAAAATTAATCTTATTTTGTTCAGTTTTATATGAAGTTAATTTCTTTTGCAGTTACAGGGTTTGTCTAATTATGATTATTTTAATTAATTCCAAAGCTGTCCGATAACTTTCTTAGAACATCTAAAAAAATTGAGGGAAAATGGGGGAAATAAGCAAAGATATCTAGCTCTCCAGCTCATTTTCCAACCAGCTCTTATCAATTTCAAATTTAAAATGGAAAGTCAGAAATACAGTATTAGTTTTAACAGCTCTATAGACAAAATAGCAATAAAGCTTAAGCGTGGCCCCTCCATTATAGAGAAATGTCTATCTCTATTGGATATCATGGCCTGCATTGGGAGCTTTAAAAGGCTCAGAGAAGGCATAAGGTGTCCCTAACTTCATTCCACTAGCAAACCACAGGCAATTATATGGAAACATATACAGTTCTGCTCTACAAGTTCTTAGTGTGTATATACATAAGCATTCAATGTTACATAGATGGATTTGTTGTATCAGTTACTAGGGCTGGTCAAAAAAAATTTCAGCAAAATTTATTTTTGATGTAAAATTGTTTTCAACTAAACAAATGGTTTTGTAATTGAGGTTTCCTTTCTGTTGAAAATGCAGTGGGTAATTTTCGGTCAAAAACAGTTGAAAACCCCCCAAAAAATAAATTTGGATGTTCTGCTCTGGGGTCTCACTGGAATTATAATTTGATTTCCTCAATATTAATGTAACTGTTCTGAACTCTGACTTTGGAATAAAATGTTTAGTTGTCAAGGTCCAAAATAGGCATCTTGTCTTTTTTGGGAACCAAAAAGTGAGTGAATAAAAACATCTTTCTTGATATTGAGGTAGAATTCACTCTATTGCCTCTCATAGAAGGATTGAGTCTGCTCCTGGCAAAGAATGACCTCATAACAGCAATTTTGAACAGGTCCAGAAAGGAAGTTTGTGTACTGGAAGGGAGGGAAAGAAACTCTATGAAGTATCATTGATGGATAATTTAAAAGACCGAAGTGTCCCAATTGTGTGCATAACCTGCAAGGCATCCTCCAGAATAGCTGGATTGTGTAGACCTGGATTGCACCAATAATGATAGGTGGATCTTGACCGCAACATCAAAAAGCAGCCCTTATCAGGTGTCAGGGAATGACAGTGTTCATGGGATCAGAGGTAGCTGAAAACAGAGTCTCTGAATCCTTTGTGTATTTATATTGAGGCTTGACGAAGCATTGATGGTAGAATGCTCAAGTCCCCCGGTATGGGGAGAAAAACTACATATATTAATTGTATTAAACTTTAACTATTCTAATATGCACTATAAACTATTTACAATGTTTTTTACTGAGTAGTAACAGTAAAAGAAATATGTGCATACAGGGATTCTGACTTGGGCCGTGTGGCGGTAAGAAGGAACTGAAGAGGCATCAAACTACACTGTTTCTTATGCCCGAAGTCTGGCATGTAAGGTGAACTATTGTCCATATGTGGGCCAACAGTCACTGCAAGCTAGAATTTCCAGAGTTGCACACATGGCATGTACACTCACTCATGTGTGGAATTCACGTAAGGATCAGCAGTCAAAGAAAAATGTTAAGTTTGGATACAGATGCAAATTTTACATTAAAGGGAGTTCAGATCAAGCATTCTTGATCTGTGTCTTGAGTCTCGTGTCCATTTCTGGGCACCACACATTTCAAGAAAGATGTGGAAAAATTGGAGAAGGTCCAGAGAAGAGCATCAAAATTTTAAAGATCTAGAAAACATGAGCTATGAGGGAAGGCTGAAGGACTTGGGATTGTTTAATTTAGAGAAGAGAAAACTGAGAGGGGATACAATAATGGTTTTCAGGAATCTAAAAGGGTGTCACGGGGATGGGGGAGGAGGGAATAGTACTTCTTGGCCTCTGATGATAGGACAAGAAGCAATGGGCTTAAACTGCAGCAAGGGAGTTTTAGGTTGATTGTTAGGAAAAACTTCCTATCAGGGTGGTTAAACACTGGAATAAATTGCTTAGGGAGGTTGTGGAATCTCCATCACTGGAGATATACCTAGAGCAGGTTAGACAGACATCTATCATGGATGATATAGACTGTGCTTGGTCCTGCTATGAGGGACTTGATGATCTCTCGAGGTCCCTTCCAGTTCTAGTATTCTATGATTCTGTTATTTATGTGATCTACATTCAATACTGTAGTTCTAGTAAAGTCCATTGGATTGTCCCTGCCAAGAATATTAATGGACATAGCCTTACATTGTTATCCATTAATAAAACTGCCAAAACATAGCTTAATTGCAAAAGGAAAGTTAAAGTTATACTAGAAAACTCAAAAGCCTATATAGAAACTAGTGGTTGATGCTAAAACGGGCCACAGGTGGTGAACACAGTTTCTGTCCTTTGGTTCTTGAGAACCTTTTGTGCAATAGCTTAGCCCTGGTCCAGGTCAAGCAATCCCATGCCAGAAACTGTACTTAGGTGTTGGAGATCCATTGATCTGAAGCAACTTCCTATTAGGCCTGGAGCTCAACAGAACATGGAAAACAACATTATTAGTAGTATGACAATGGTTGTGGCACTTTTATTCAAGCAAGCTCATCCGTTTCATGATTAATGTTGTACTATACATTGGAAATATACATTCTCTCTGTTTCTGCCAAACCTAGATATGGGGCTCTAACACAGTTAGAAATATAAAGAATTGTGATAAGGCTGTTGCCTACATTCAATGCTGCACTGATTTATGCTGATAATCTTTAAATTTTTATATTGAATTTGAAACAGCACTGATATTATCCAGTTATGAATATCAGCAGACAGAAATGAAGGTAGCTTGAAGATAGAATGTTTTTCACTGTATATTTTATTCCTGGTTCAGCCTTTTTGCTGAATATTTTGAACAATTTATTCATTATTCCATATACAGAATATGAATCTGAAAGATCTTCTGAAGAAGAAAATAACGTAGAGGACAAGAACATAATAGTTTTAAGTCCAGCTTTTCAAAATGCCACATTTTAGTATGGCCACATCAAACAAATTTTAATATATAGCTACAACTGAATATTTTGTCATAATTTGTCTGAATGTGTCTGGCTAGCTTTAAACATCAACATATTTACTTATCTGGAATTTAAAGTAAAGGAATTAGGCTCTTAAATTAGCACTTTCAAAAAACCTATAATCATCTTTAATTTATTGAAAATAAAATCAGCAACAACATACTAGTTGGCAGCAATCCCCTATATTTAGGTTGCTTAACATTTTCCTTTTTCTAGCTAGGCCAGAATAAGGACAGAAGCACCAGATGTGGTTTTAATTAGTCCACAACTTTATTCTTAAAAATCTGGGAGTACTCGGCAGATAAAATTATACAATGTAGGTAATTCCACATATATTTCCATATACTCAGGGGGCCAGCCCTCCCCCTTTTCAATGTTAGTCCCACCCAACCTACTCCTGGGACCCTGCTGGGCTATAAAAGAGGGGTGTTTGGATTTTTTAAGTATGTCAGAAGCAGGTTGCCTGTTATTCATTATGTGTGGGGCCACTGGATGATTGAGATGCTAAAGGAGCTCTCAAGGAACTCCTTGTGGAAAAGCTAAAAGAATTCTTTGTATCAGTTTTTACCGCAAAAGAGAAAGATTCCCACATCTAAGCTCCCCCTTTCAGGTGACAAATCTGAGGATGGGGTGTCAATAGAAGAAGTTTTGGAAGCAATGATAAATGAAATTCAGTCCTAAATTCAGGACTCTCTGGTCTGGCAACATCCGAGGGCTGGCAGGACCAAAGATCTTGCTGGACCAAAGAGCCTCAATTGCTAGGAATGTGAGCCAGTGGGGATCCCCACCATTGGGATCAGCACGCCCCATCTCTGAGGAGCCTTGGCCAGGTGGAGCAGCAGCGAGACCAGCAAGTCCCATTCCCAGGGAACCCTGGATAGGCATGGCAGCAGACAGGGAGCCCTGTCCCCAGGAAGTCCTTGTCAGGCATGGCAGCAGTGGAGCAGCCAAGGAGCCCCATCCCTGGAAAGCCCCGGCTGGGTGTGGCAGAAGCAGGGCTGCCAACAGGTAGCAAGCCCTGTCCCCCAGAGAGCCCAGAAGGCTGGCAGCAGTGTGCAGGAGCCCAAGCCCTGTAGCAGCAGAGCTGGAGCCCAGTGGCAATGGAGTCAAAGTGGAGCCAGCTGGAGGAAGGGGCAGTGTCCTGGGATACCGGCAGCAGGGGACCTTCCTGGCCCAGCAAATTCCCTCATTCAGAATGGGTCAGGTCCCCAGGATGCTGGACCAGGGAGATCCATCCAACCTGTAGTTGTAAGTCACTAGGGCCAGACTGTATTCACTCAAAAGTTCTGAATGAACTAAATATGTAATTGCAGAACTACTGACTGTAGTATGTAACCTATCACTTAAATCAGCTTCTGTACCAAATGATTGGAGGATAGTTAATGTGACACAGATTTTTCTAAAAAGGCCCCAGAAGTGATTACAGGCTAGTAAGCCTAACTTCAGTACCAGACATATGTGTTGAAAATATAGTAAAGAACAGAACAATCAGACATAAAGATGAATAGGATTTGCTGGAGAAGTATCAAGGGACTAAAGGCACATGATGACTCTCAAATTTACTAGACTTCCTTGAGGAGGATCAACAAGCATATGGATACAGTGTACTGTTATTTTCGCAAAGCCTTTGACAAGGTCCCCTACCAAAGGCTCTTAAGCAAAGTGGTTGTCAAGGGATAAGAACGACGGTCTTCTCTTGGATCAGTAACTGATAGAAAAATGATAGGAATAAATATACTTGAATCTCTTCTCCCAGGCA